AATCATCCCTTTGTCCGGCATCTCCACACTGTATACACTGCCCGCCCATTAGTCACTCAGCAGCCGTCTCGGTTATTGGAGAGAGAGAGACCACATTCACATAACTGATTACAGTATACTCTTAGAATGTCCTGTTTTATTGTTAGTTAGTGTTGTTCGTCTCTTCCTGTGTGCCTAATTTATTTTATTTTATTTTTTAAATATATATTTGATTGATTCCCCACAGAGAGGAAGGGAGAGAGATAGAGAGTTAGAAACATCGATGAGAGAGAAACATTGAGAGAGAAACATCGACCAGCTGCCTCCTGCACACCTCCCAATGAGGATGTGCCCGCAACCAAGGCACACGCCCCTGACCGGAATCGAACCCGGGACCCTCCGGTCCGAAGGCCGATGCTCTATCCACTGAGCCAAACCGGCCACGGCCTGTGTGCCTAATTTAAAAGCTAAACTATATCATAGGCATATATTGGAAAACACACAGTATATATAGGGTTTGGGCCGATGCTCTATCCACTGAGCCAAACCGGCCACGGCCTGTGTGCCTAATTTAAAAGCTAAACTATATCATAGGCATATATTGGAAAACACACAGTATATATAGGGTTTGGTACTACCTGTGGTTTCAAATATCCGGAGGGTGGGATAGGCATATATTGGAAAACACACAGTATATATAGGGTTTGGTACTACCTGTGGTTTCAAATATCCACGGGAGGGTGGGTGGGGGGTCTTGAAACGTGTCCCTGAGGATAAGGGGGGGACTACTACTGTATTTCCTCGAACCTAAGATAAGGTGCGCATGACTCTGTCCCACGAAGAACGGATTGGGAGACACATCTCAGACTCCAGAGACGCGTGCGCCTTCGCGTTGATGAGATACTTTATTATCAGGAGGACGAGGAGGGGGCAGCAAGAGAGTGCGTCTCTATAGAAGCAGCTCTCCACTCGGGATGCATTTCAGAATCCGATGCCCAGACTGCATCCCACTTAAACCCAGACCTCTGGAGGAAGGGGGGCCCAGTAATTCATCTGTGCCTTGGTTGCCCCATCTGCAAAGCTGGGATAATTCTAGAATCTGCTTCTAGGGCTGTTGTGTTGAATGAGCTGATTCATGTAAGTGATTTAGAATGGTGCCAGGCCCACAGAAATGCTGAAATCCATGTTAATGATTACTCAACCCTGTACCCCAGGTCCTGGCATATGCTAGGTGTTTCCTAAATGTTGGTCAAAAGCAGGAGTAAATACATTGTCACATGGCTGATGCCCTGCCCTCCCCCCGCCAGCTAGGAGAGGCCCACTCTGGCCTCTGGCCAGGGTGTGGGGGCCCAAGAAGAGGCTTACCTGCCCCAGAGCCTGGGGTCCAAAGTTCACTGAAGCCCCACCCTTCCCCAGCACCGCACCCCACCCCCAGGCTGTCCTCGGTGGGGTGGGCACTGCGGGGAGGGCCCTGCCAAGACCTCATGGAGTCGATGACGAGAACCAAACTTCTCCCCCAGCCTCCACCCCTCCCCTGTTCTGCTTTCCTTGTTTTCTTTTCCATAAAGATTAGTCTGTGTTGCTCCTCTATCAAGGCCCGGAGGATAAACATGTGGTCCGGAGGCAGAGAAAGCCCAGGCTCGAAGGCCCCTGGCTGCCCCCACCCCAGCAGCGTAAACCCAGGGCTTTTAAGCGAGGAATGGTTTTCAGTAAATCTCTCCTATCAGCAGAAACCTTTGAAAGAGTTTGTTTAAAGGCCAGGGAGATAAACAGCAAGGAGAAGTGTTTGTTTAAGATGTATGTTCTGTGTGGGCGCTCTGGGGCCCTGATTCACATCTGAGGGAGAAGAGCCTCTCAGAGTCGGGGTGCGGGCCTCCCAGGGGCTCCCGGGGCCCTGGGTGTGGACTCCAGCCCCGGCAGGAACCCAGTCCTGGGGGGGACGGGGGAAGGGAAGGGAGCTGGACTGCACCTGTGGGCCCCTCCCAGGCTGGGGTGGGGGTGGGGGCGGGGGTGAACGCTGCTGCAGGAAGGGGAAGGAGCCTTCCTCACCCTGTTAGGAGGGAAGGGGCCCCAGGAGGATCTGCTGGTTGGTCTGCAGGCAGAAAGCCCCCAGGAAGCCAGCTGCCTCACGCCCCCAACTCAAAATTCAGAACAAGGGCCTGGCTCCGGGCCCTGACGTGGCTCTGTACTCAGCAGCCGACATGAATGAGAGCTTGACTCCGTATTGCCTGCTCCATGAACTTGGACAAGCCACCTAACCCATCACTAGAGCCCGAGGTCCTCTCTGTTGTGCAAATACCATGCCGCCGCAAAGGGCTTTAAGTACTCTTCCCTCCACTGGACAAACATGCACGGGGCACCGGCTGCATATCAGACACTGGTCTGAGTGCTTGGGGGGGCGACAGAAAACACAGCCAGCAAAGTCTGCCCTTTGGGAGCCTAAAGTGAGGGAACTAGACAGTGAACCTAGGAATGGGGAAAGTCTACGTTAGAAGGGGTTAGAGCTGTGGAAAGAAGCAGAAAGGGTAGAGGAACTGGGGAAAGAAGCTGGTCTCTGAAGCAGATCCAGATCTCTGAGGACAGAGGGGTCCCGGGGAGCTCTGGGCCAGGGCAAGGCCTGGAGAGCTGAGTGACATGCCCTCTGTCCCCCACACAATGAGGGCCCTGGAGCCTGGGCCTGCAGTCAGAAAAAGAACTGGCGTTGTTGTCAAAGCAATTACTGAGGGCAGGAGGGCTTCCCGGAGGAAGCAGGACTTGAGCTGGGTTTCCCCCGGAATTCCTTCCCCTGCCCAGGAGAGAGGAGAGACGGTGTCTCTGGAGCGAAGCCCCTTGAAGGTGAGGAGACAGGCAGACCAGTGACGGAGCTCACGGTGCCCGAGGGGCCTGGGGCAAAGGCAGCTGGATTCTCAAGGAAAGGCCTCAGCCAGAGTCATCGGGACAAGTGATTACAGCTTCCTGGGCCGCTCTGTCCTCGACAGTAAAATGGGAAGGATATATCCTGCCCTCATGGGATGCTTGGGAAGAGGAAAGTGAGACGGGGCCCAAGGTTGTGGGTTCCATCCCCACTCGGGGCACATGCAAGAATCACCCAATGGATGCATAAGTCAGTGGAACGACTCGATGTTTCTCTCTCTCTCTCTCTCTGGAGCACAGTAGATGCTCAGTAAGTGTTGGATTTGTGTTTTGGGCCCTCCCTCGCCCTTTCAGACTCCTTCTGGCTCTTCCATAAGAGGGTGAATGGAAAGGTGACAGGCCCACTAGGTCCCAGAGTGGAAGATGTTGGACAGCTGAGCTTTGTCTTCATGTAGCTGAAAGGCAGTTTCACCAGAGAAAGCGTAGATTTGTTCCTGGGCTCCGACGGGAAGGTGGGCATTTCAGGGAACAGCTGTTCAGTCTGCTCAGGAGGAGCTGCTCCGGAACCAGGGGCAAAATGGACCTCTTCAGAGGTGTGAGCTCCTGCCCATGGTCCCGTGAGCAGAGGCGCTGGGTTTGCAGTAGAGGCTGAGCAGAGGGGACCCCTGCTCTGGGAGGAGTTTGACCTGCTGGCTTGGGGGTCCCTCCCAGCTGTGAGATTTGGGGATCTACTTCCATTCCTCCCCAGGCTCCACAGTCCATGGCAATGTGTCTGCACACCAGACTTTCTCTAGCACCTCGTGCAGACTTGCCTGGCCCCTGTGCCCAGTGTTCTGCTATGTGACAGGCCAGCAGGTCCGACAGATGAGTCCGTGCTAGGTTTGCAGTGGTCACCGATGAGCATGCTAGCCCTGCCAGGTAACCCAGGGGCAGTGTAATGGGGTCCAGGCTGTGTTAGCTGGACAGCAGGAGCACCGGTGACACGCAGGCACTGGGAGAGAGACCCAGGGACAGATCCGTTTGGGGAAATACGCCTGAGTGGCTTATCAGATAGTCCCCGGTGCCCTCCAAACCCCACCCACAATAAGAGTAAATGTAGCTAAGATCACAGACCGTGGCTCAGAGATTTAAAGAGCCCGACTGCCCAGCTCCACCTCTCCCCGTGAACCCGCTGAAGTACCAGGGGACCCCGGCACCTTCTCCCTGGCCCACACACGCCGTGCCAAGGAGAACCCGCCCGCCTGGCAGCTGGGAGCCACACTCTTCTTCTAAAGCTTCTGCATCTCCCTTCCTTCCTCCTCCACCCCCCCATCCCCAAAAGGAGGATGCCCCTTCTGTTGAGTACACAGCCTGTAATTTTGCTGTCAGATCTCAGCCAGGAGGTCAGTGTTGTGACTGACTGTTTAAGGATCGCTCCCTTAGGGTAATTACACTAAATTCCCTTCTGAAGGACAGCTCTCTCTGGATAGAATGCGAGAAAGCCCGCAGCCCCCATTCACGGGAATCTGTGATTCCTGTCGTTGTCACGGGCACCCTGGCAGCAGGGCGACACATCAAGGAGCTCCAGCTACTCTGCCCAGAGGTGAGTCTCCGGGGTGGCAGGACCCAGGTGTGTGGGGGGGCTGGGTGCAGTGGAGGATGGTCCCGCAGTAAGGGGGGAGGGGTCAGGGGGGCCACACTGGGAGCACCTTCATTCTGAGCTGGCCAGCCCTGAACTGGGAAAGCAGCAAGGCCCCTGCTGCCATCCACCCGTGAGAGGAGACCCTGGGGCATTCACGCATTCCTTTGTTTAACAGGTTGGCCTTGAGCGCCCATCACCTGCCCTGCACTGTGCCAGGCACTGAAGGGGGACCCCACAAAGGGCAGCAGCCCCCTCTGGAAAGAGCTGGAGGGCTGGAGCTACACAAAGCGCTGGCACGGAGAGGTGGGTTAGAATCCAAGCCCCTCCATCCCCAGGCCCCTTCAGAGGGGCAACGCCCTGGCCCTGGTCCCCACCCGCCCCTGGGAAGATGGGAGAAATGGCCAAGACCTTCCGGATCTCATACCCCGGCACCCAGCAGCCCCTGCACTCACACTCCTCCCACCCCAGGGAGACCCCGGCGAGAGTTGGGGAGTCACTCACCCACGACAAACAGTTAAAAGGAAGAAAGCGGGTCTGGCGATATCAATGCACTTTGATAACAATAAACTCTGCTTTTAATTTATGCTAATGTGTAGGGCTGTGGTGACAGTAAGAACTAAATTACAGAGTGGCTTTCGAGCTGGTAATTATCCCTCCATTTTTCGCTGCTCGGGAAGATGGACACACAATTATGCTCTCTTGCTGTATATTAATACAGATTCTTGACATCTTCAGCAGACCTAGCGCTGTCATCCAGCTTTTTGTCTCCTTTAATTGAAAATTAATGGTTACTGGGTTGCCACGGAAACAGAGGCCACGGACGCCAGTGGCGCTCATGTCTCACTGAGGGACTGGCGGCTTTAGGAGTCCGGAATGACCTTGAAAGTTAAAAGAAAAAAAAAACTTAAAAAAGAAGGGGAGAGGAGGGGAAATGAGGACAGGAGGGTGGGAGAGTGTGGGAGCTGAAGAGAGGAGGGAGGAAGGGAGGGAGAAGGGGAAAAAGGATAAAAATTTAAAACCAGAAAATTTGCAGGAGGCTGGATGCTTGAGGAGAGAAATTAAATTAAATTAGTAAGTTTTACCTCTCAATTTTTGTCTCTTAACTCTCTCTCTCTCTCTCTCTCCATTGAAAAGCTGAGAGCTGGGGGCTCAGCTCCGAAATGCAAGATTCTACAAATCTGTCAGGAAGAATGACAGCATCCGCCCAGAGCTCCGGGAGGAAGAGACAAAGGCTCCCCGGTGCCCGGGAGGCGGCGGGCAGAGCAGGGGCAGGGCTGCGGTGTGCAGCAGGCCCGTCCCAGGGCCCGTGGCTGTGCGGTCAGAAATGGGGACCAGCGAGGGGGCTGCCTCCTGGGGAGCCGGGAGCTGCCCGACATTGCTCCAGCCTACGGAGCAGGGAAAGGGCTCTGTGGCTGGGCCCTCAGCTGGAAGACACCACAAAAGAACTCAGATCTGAGTCAGAGAAGAGGTT